TACTCCCTGTGCTGGCCTTCTCCCGGGCCTACTTGATATGTGCCCCCGCCGGGGCCTGTGCCTCGCGCTCTCCGCCCGCGCTTGCCCCCACTCTGGAGCCTTCTATGCCTGCGCTCCTGCGCTTGCCCACACTGGGGCCTCTAACTGGGCTTGCCCCCTTTCGGGACTTCCCCCTTCCAGGCAGCGCCCCACTGGGGCCTACCCCTCATACGTCTCGCGGTCACCCGCACTCGGGCCCGTACCCCGTGATCCTCGCCGGACTCGGGCCACTACTCCCGCTTCCCGCGCTCCTCGCGTTTTGCACACTCGGGGCTCAGGCGACCTCAGCCTTACCTGGCCCCAGACCCCCTTGCAGGGTCCTACGCCTGACTCGGGCCTGTACTCGCGCTTCCCGCGCTCCTCGCCCGACTCGGGCCTGTACTTGCGCTCCTCGCGTTTCGCACGCTCGGGGCTCAGGCGGCCTCAGCCTTACCTGGTCCCAGACCCCTTCCCGCGCTCCTCGCCCGACTCGGGCCTGTACTTGCGCTCCTCGCGTTTCGCACGCTCGGGGCTCAGGCGGCCTCAGCCTTACCTGGTCCCAGACCCCTTCCCGCGCTCCTCGCCCGACTCGGGCCTGTCCTCGCGCTTCCCGCGCTTGGGGCTCAGGTGGCCTCAGCCGGCCCCAGACCCCTACTAAGGTTCTATGCCCGACTCAGGCTTCTCACGAGTGGGGCTCAGGCAGCCTTAGCCTTACCTGGCCCCCAGACCCGCCTTCTTGGGCCTATGCCCCACTGGGGCCTACTCACGCTTCTCGCACCCTTGCCCACTGGGCCTACAGTGCTTCTCGCACTCTCCATCTTGCGCCCAACAGCCAAGCCTTCGAGGCACTGCTCTGTGCCCGAACAGGGCACCCAGGAACCCCCAGACTACTGGGGAGCTCCCGTGAGGCCTCCTCACACCCCTACAGCCTCACCCGGTCCTCCGGTCTTAAACACAATAACCCGAAACCAAAATCTCCCTTTCC